AGGGCCGTGCGCCGAGCGATCAGCACTTTCATGTCCGCACGGAGCGACCTGCAGGTCGGTGCGAGAGGGAGCAGGGACCGAGGCCCTACGCGTCAGGGAGATGGTCTGTGAGGGTCTTGGCCGGGAAGCGCTCAGAGCTGCGGCTCCTGCGAAGGCAACCCGGACCGACCGCTTGGGAGCAAAAGCCTGTCGCCTGTTCAGCCCCCCTCGTCCCCCGCCTGTCCCATGGGCAGCGCTGGTCGCAGAGCACCGGGCTCGCTCCCGGCCGCTGCCGGCCTCTGGAAGAGAGAGGCGCTCGTCCAAGTGCAGCTGCATCCGAAAGCGAAAGAAAACATCACAGTCGTTACTAACCAAATGCCTGAGTGACAACTCAAAAATGAACAATAACCAAATATTCTTCACCTCAGGGATCCAGAAATTTTGCTGTGTTTCACACTTTTGCTAACAACCTTACATATGTGCTCCTTACAGCGTGTTGGACTTTTTCTAAAGTGCATGAATTAATGCTGAAAATATTGTTCTGCATTTTTACATTAAACCTGTTAAGATTTTAAACGTGTTACACAGATTAGAAATGATATGGGCATGGCACTTGCCAATCCTTACATTTAGTATTTTGTGAAATTCAAAATTGTGTGCCTCTTAAAAATGACTGATATTCTTTTAAATTTGCATGTTTTTTATGTAATTTAATTCCTGAATATAATTTACAGAAATTAGGCAACATCTACAGAGTATTTCTAGGCAGAATATATCCCCTAAATTCAGGGGAAATTGTGGTTGAGATATTCATGTATCAAATTACAGGTGTCCAAATAAAGCATAAGTTTTTTTTATGATTATCACTGAGTTCCATTTTCAAACTGTTTTTTTTTTTTTTTAACAAATGAAAGAATTGACACTCATATATCACATGAGGAGGCAAAACTAGCTTTAATCTAGATTACGTGCACTTTTTGACTGAACAGAATGGACTACAACTGTTTATGGACTCGGCGGAAGGTTTGTCACTAGTGGGCCTGCCAGGCAGGCTCCTAACATCACCGTTAGGCTCCACAAAGCCAACTTTGTTCTGCAGATCTGTGTCGAGATGTTTTCTGAGGCAGTTATAAACAACCTTCTGAATCTTAAAGGAAGCCTAACACAAGTACGTGAAGTCTTTTAGTCTGTCAGAATCATAATTCCTTTATGACACATCTGAAGTGCACCCAAGTCTAACCTTTCACTGTAGCAGTGTAACCACTGGAAGACTTGGAAAATCATCCTCCAAACTGTCTGGGCAGAAATGGGTGACGCAGAGTTTGTGACCCATAGCTTACTGTTTAACGAACTGTAAACCCCTTCCCCCAAGGTGTGGGGCACATTTGATAAAATTTAATATCATGCTTTCTAGAAGACCTCCTCACCAGCAGGTTGCTACAAGAGGACACATACACATTTCCCGAGTGTTTCTGTTAGTGACATCATCAGTTCTCTCAGGGACCAGAGAGATTTTCTAGACAAAACCAACTAAAGCAGAAAGAAATTTTTGCTGCTAAGTACAAACCCTAATTATGTTTATTTTACCGTGGATTGGAGACAATATTGGATCAAAGTTTAAGATCCAATCCCCACATGATAGGAACTACATTTTGCTCAGGATATTGGATACACAGTACCAGAAGTTAAAAGAAAGGAGACATTTGCAAAACTGAAACATTAAAACAACCAACCAACCAACTAACAACAAAACGCAAAGAAAAACACAAAACACTAATGTGTAGCTTTTGAAGTGTGCTTTAATTAGGACTGTCACTTTATTTCCTGATTAAACTATAATAAGGAAGTTGCGCTTGGGGCAGTAAGACAATGTCTCACCATGACTGCATAAAAAAAATTGATTATTATTCAAAAAAAATCATCACATCAGGGCGTTATATCCAACTTCAAAGTTACTCTTAATTTTCTTGAGACCTTCTATGGCAATTTAGATCCCTATATGTATCTGCTGCAACTGTAATAATAGTAATATGGAAACTAAAGTCATACAAGATCTTCTTAATAGAGTACATTATTCCTACCATTACAAAGTAAAGGTGAAATGAGATAGAAAAGCTTTTCATCCTACTTTTAAACTATGCAGTTCTAAGACTTGAGACATATAGATGGACATTATTGAGTTATCCCTAAGCATAACTTTGCCTATTTGAGGGAGCTTGTTTGAAAGTTTTTTTTTTGCATCACAAGTCCTTTAAAAGGTCAAAATGTACTGGAATCCAGTGATAGAGCTAAGGCACCATACGGTATGGATTTCCTATTAACTACTGTTTGTTGTATATGCTAATCAGAGAAAGCTCATTTCTTTAAAGTTGCTTTGCTACATTCCTTTGTCCAGTGGAATTTGCCTGAAGGCCAAAAATTTGTAATACCAGTAGACTTGCCAGGACACTTACTGGACAATCCATCTGATTCATAGAACATTTCCATTTGAGGTCTCAGCAGTGTGACGGCCGCACAGGGTTCACAACCGCTACAACCAGTAGTGGCTATGAACAAAAAGGAGGAATGCTTAAGAGGATCTCAGTATCACAGGTGGCAAAACTCCTGTTACTGAAGTGAGCAGGGTAGTGAGTGACATAAGAAGTGTATGGAATGAAATTCTGAAGAAAATTATGAATTTCTGGTCAGATGAAAAGAATTTGGAGAGATGTGCTGAACTTAACCTTCAAACTCCTAGAAAGGCAGGGCCCTCTTCTGTGGTACCATTTCAGATTTCCACATATAGGAGTTTAAGGAAGAAATCCTACTCCTGGATACAGATACCTCCACTCCCATGGGCTTTCCTTGGAAATCTAGTTCTCTGGTCTAGAGGTGTGTTCTTGAGCCCAGAAAGCCCATCATCTCCTGGGCTGCAGAACGGGAAGTGTGACCAGCAGGTCGAGGAATGTGATTCTTCCCTTCTGCTCTGTTCTGGTGAGATCCCAGCTGCAGTACTGTGTCCAGCTCTGGGGCCTCCAGCAGAAGGATGACATCGACCTGTTAGAATGGGCACAGAGGAGGCCATGAGAATAATCAGAGGGCTAGAACTCCTCTCCTGTGAAGAAAGGCTGAAAGAGTTGGGCTTGTTCAGCCTGGAGAAGAGAAGGCTCCGGGGAGACCTTATTGCAGCCTTTCAATATAGAAAGGCAGAGAGAGACTTTGTGCCAAGGCATCTAGTGACAGGATAAGGAACAATGGTTTAAGCTGAAAGAGGGTAGAATTTAGATTGGACATAAGGAAGAATTTTTGAAACAAAGGTGGTGGGATACTGGACCAGGTTGCCCAGAGAAGCTGTGGATGCCCCATCCCTGGATGTCTTCAAGGCCAGGCTGGATGAGGCTTTGAGCAACCTGGTCTAGTGGAAGGTGTCCCTGCCTGTGGCCAGGGGGTTGGAACTAGATGATTTTCTATGCTTTCCTCCAACCAAAATGTTCTATGACTGTGATCTTCTGACACATGCACACAGAATCATAGAATTGTTTCAGTTGGAAGGGACCTTAAAGGTCATCTAAAGATATGTAGAGATCTGTTCTAGAAACTAAATATAGAGAACTTGTGCATATTAAACCAGTTTTTATATCATCACAGTTCTTCAAGAAGAGACTTGTAAGTGCCAGGAGCTATGCAGCTGTAGTGAAATGATCAACAAAATGTAACAAGAATCAATACAACACTATAATGTAACCGTTACAGCTCTCAGTGTACCCACTAGCAAACAAAACCCTAAGGCACCACTACTGCCGCTGTATCAGACTAGTCTGGTGCTCCAGACAGCTCTCTTCAGGTTTCTCTCCGCAAATGATCCCTGATGACCCACTTTGGCCATCAGACCATCCTACTCAAAAAGCTTCTCTTCTACAGCTTGGGGGTGGGGAGGAGAGGCACAGGGGATAGTAGCATTTTGCTATAAAGTTAGTATTCTCCTAACTCCAAGGCCCGAATATTTCTCCCTCTCCCCAGGGAACAGGGAGGGCAGAGGTGCTGCACAGGCAGGAGCTATGGTCTGAATGCAGCGTGCTGCAGACGATCAGGTGCAGCCTCTGGGAACATCCCAGCAACAGGAATCAGATAGGCAGTGGTGATTTGTAACAGTGAATCCAAAGAGGTTTAACATTGTCCTCTTTGGCGATACTGGTCCCACCAATGCAGATTATTAATTCAAACATTGTCCACTTTTAACTGGCATAAAAAGAGGGATAGCTATACACAGTGAGGGAACTTAAGAGTGACAAGACTGAAAATACCACTTAAACTAGGAATACGCCAGCAGTGCAAGTTTCTTCTGAATGGAAAGATGCTACATTGTTGCTTTCCTGTGCAGGTCTGACTAGTGAAGTATCTAGATCAAAACAAACCATTTTCCCTGAAGCATTTCTTGTTTCCATGCTGAATAAAGTCACTGGAATGCTTTACATCTTTTAAAGAACAAAGGTCTACAATGGAAGATGTGCTTCATTCTTCTATGTATTTATACAGCTTTGGGATTGTCTTGTATTTATTAACATGCAGTATAGCTTTTTCCACAGCCTCCTCAGCCTTTTAGTGCCCCCAGCCCCCACCCATATTTAACATCAGCAATTGGTAAAGTCATGAAAGTTGAGCAAATTCAGTACAAAGAACAAGTGTTTTATCAATCCTGCCACAAGACAGACACAACAATCAATAAGTCACTACAAATATAATTTGTGCTGTTTCATAAAAAGGGAGCATTAAAAAGCAGAACACTTTTCTTGGAGGAATCAAAAGACATTGCCACAGAACATGGTTTTAGCTCTTTACCAAAAGCAGAATATAAGAAACCCCTACGACCAAAAAACAAGCAATACAACTCTTTTTTGACTCTGTGGGTGGCTCTGAAAAGAGCCTTTGGGGTGTTTGTGAAGTTTTGACAAGTCTGAGAGGCTTTGCTCATTAAGGTTTATTTACTTTTAGCCTTGTGGCTCTCAGTCTTCTTGGGCAGGAGCACGGCCTGGATGTTGGGCAGCACCCCGCCCTGCGCGATGGTCACCTTGCCCAGCAGCTTGTTGAGCTCCTCGTCGTTGCGGATGGCCAGCTGCAGGTGGCGGGGGATGATGCGCGTCTTCTTGTTGTCGCGGGCCGCGTTGCCCGCCAGCTCCAGGATCTCGGCCGTCAGGTACTCCAGCACGGCCGCCAGGTACACCGGGGCCCCGCGTAGTCACCTTTCCGGAGGAGACGGTGCACGCGGCCCACGGGGAACTGCAGCCCGGCCCGCGACGAGCGCGACTTGGCCTTGGCGCGGACTTTGCCCCCCTGCTTCCCGCGGCCGGACATGCTTCAGGCAACTCGAAGGCTGCAACCTGCTTGAGGAAAACAATACCGAGGAAGTCATCCTGACGCAACGGCTCTTCCCGTTTTATGCCTTCCCTGGGCGGGAGTAGCAATCGGTGATTGGCTGGAAGCCGTTATTGGTCATGGAACCAATGAAAGCACGGATCGTATTGTGACCATTCAGAGACCCAGAAACACTCTCATGCGAGAAGGTCCAATCGCAACGCACGAGTTAGAAGTCTGATATTTGCATAACAGCCCTATAAATACACGGCGCTGCGGCCATCTTGGCTGCTGGTTTTATTCTGACAGAAAAGGAAAGCGGCGTTGAAATGCCCGAACCCGCTAAGTCCGCCCCCGCGCCCAAGAAGGGCTCCAAGAAAGCCGTCACCAAGACGCAGAAGAAGGGCGACAAGAAGCGCAAGAAGAGCCGCAAGGAGAGCTACTCGATCTACGTGTACAAGGTGCTGAAGCAGGTGCACCCCGACACCGGCATCTCGTCCAAGGCCATGGGCATCATGAACTCGTTCGTCAACGACATCTTCGAGCGCATCGCCGGCGAGGCCTCTCGCCTGGCGCACTACAACAAGCGCTCCACCATCACCTCGCGGGAGATCCAGACGGCCGTGCGGCTCCTGCTGCCCGGCGAGCTGGCCAAGCACGCCGTGTCCGAGGGCACCAAGGCTGTCACCAAGTACACCAGCTCCAAGTAGAGCGTCCCGAGCGTCAGTTTGAACCCAAAGGCTCTTTTAAGAGCCACCCACGTACTCCATAAAGGAGCTGTAGCACAGTGTCTGTGTTTGGTGTCTGAAAATGTACTTAAAAAACGACAAATAAATTTTGAAACCCTTTTAATCTGTTACTACGATTAAATGATTAAAGATCTGTTTGAAATCTTTGAATGTTTTATTTAAAGCAAATGTGAATTCGTTAACTATTACTTTATAAGTGTTAACATGCAAATAGCCATACAATAATTGTAGGCAGTATTGCCAAACTTCTTATCAGTAGAGATACGAGGCGCGGCGTATCATACTACACATTATATTGTAAATAAAACCACATAGCTTCCAATAAATAAATTGGCACATTCGCCATAAAAAACAATGGGTATGAGTGGAAAACAAGACTGATCACTGCATAGCAGTCCTGGGGTAATCCAGGCTTAAAAAAATTTCCTTTTTCTCCTCAGAGGACAGGAAGCCTAGGAGAAGCGAGGACACCTCTCAGGCGGGGTAGACGATTTGGGAGGACGAGCTGTCGGTGGGCGCGTGGACCCGGGCTCGCCGACTAGCGCAGGGGCCGCGCGGGCTATTCGAAATTGTCGAATCGCAAAATAAAGGGCTGCGGCTTCTCCCATCAGCCAATCCCAACGGGCCGCAGGCTGAGCTCCCGGAGACAGCGGTGATGTGGAAAGCTCCGCGCCGCTCCGACCGGGCACAGAAGCCCCGGGCGCAAGGAGCAGGCTCGGGACAGCTGCCCAGA